AATTCAATAAGGTTGTAACTGGTTGCAATTCTCGTAACTATAGTAATGAAACTAATGATTGTTCTTGAGCACGAAGCTCTACATTATAATGAAACCCATTCCCTTATATAGATCTTCGTACCTTATGAACCGACAAGTCGATTACCGTAAAGCCGATTTCGACAAGTCGGTTTCCTGATCACGTGATGTCCATCCCGTGACTGGTAATGATGCCACCGCTTATCTAACCTGTGCTCTCTAGCCGACCTGTGACTGCTGCTTACCCTGTGCCCACTGTAGGGTAGGTAACAACAAAAGATAGGTACCTATCTTTTAATCACTGATTACTTATCTGGTTACCGCTATCTTTCGTTACCCTTCAATTCAACTATCCCTACAGTGCTGTTTTCGTAGGTTCCAACACCAAGGCCTTAGGTTTATCTTATAATCCATGTTGCGGTGCGGGTACCTCCGTAACAATATGTATAACTATAGCATCCTTATCGTAATGTGATTGGATTTGACTTCTAAAATGATTGTCTTTCAATATATGAGTAGCTATAAGCTGTAGTGCATTGTAAACTAATGATTCGCCTTCTTTCTTGAATATAGCATACAATTCGTACGTCTTATTTTCTTGGTACTCTGGTTTTCGGCTAAGAGCATCGACTTTAGTGTTTTCTGATCCTTTAATATATGAAATTTTGAAATTGTAATTAACTATAATCTCCGATCATCTGATCTGTCGTTTGTTTAACTACTTCGTTGTAATGAAGTAAATCAAATTCTTATGATTCGTATATACCTGTACTATATATTTTGATTCTTTTAAATAAACCCGCCATTTTTTAAATGTATCAATTATCATTAGTAATTCTTTGTCATATATTTCGTAATTCAATTCAGTTGGTGATAGCTTTTAAGAGTAGAATACGATTGGTTGTTATTTCTCATTTTGATTTGATTAATTTAATATTATATTTATAGCAAAATCTGAAGAGTCCATTTCCATTATGATTTACTTATCAGGATTGAATATCAATAATATTAGCTCCTCGGTTACTACTTGTTTGAACGTTTCGAAGGACTTCTATGCCTTAACAGTCCATTTGAAGCTTCCTTAATCTTTTCTGATTAATATAGTCAAGGATATAATAATTCCTAAATAACTCTTAATAAATTTTCAATAAAAGTTAACAAATCCCAAAAAGGATTATACTTTCTTAATAATATTTGACTGCTTCTATTCAAACATTGCTTTAACCTTATCTTTACTCATCTTAAGCCTTTGGCTTGATATAATGAATCCTAGGAACTCTGTTTCTATAATGTGGAATTCATATTTGCTTGGTTTATATAGTAAATCGATTTTAACTAAATTTTCAAGAATATTACTAATATCTTTGATATATTGAATCTTATTGTTTGAGTATATTAAAATATTATTCAAGTAATATATATAATAAGTATTCAAGTATTATAACAATACATTGTTTATAAGTCTTATGAAAATAGCTGGTATATTAGTTAGCCCGAAGGGCATAATTTGATATTCGTATAGCCTGTATCTTATCTTAAAAGCGGTTTTTCATTCCTTACCTTTCTTCATTCTAATCAAGTAGTATCCGTTTTGTAGGTACATCTTAATAAATATTGTAGCTCCGTTTAATCGATCTTTTAATTCCATAGCTAATGGAAGTGGATATCGATCCTTCTTAATAAGCATGTTGAGCTTTCTGTAGTTCACAATTAATCTCTTAGTACCATCCTTCTTAGGTACTCACATAGTTAGACTTACTACTTGGGATGTGGATTCTCTAATTTATCCCTTGACCAAATTGTTATCAATATATTCCCTAAGTATTTTCAGCTCATCAACTAACATTAAATAAATTGAAGTATGCACAAGCATCTTGCCTTCCTTCAATATTATCTCATAATCCTATAACTTGTGTTCTAATAAAGCCTTATAAATCCCTAATTCTTTAAAAACATATTCGTATTTCTTGTATTGTTCTAATATCATAGGCTCCTTTACCTTGATTGCAATTTTGTGCTATATTATTGGCTTCTGCATTTATAGAGAAAGTGTACTATCCTTCGCTTTTAATAAAGGACTTTAAACTAGATGTTTTATATTGTTAATATTGTTTGTGTTCAACTCTCCTTGGTATGTGTTACATCTTGTGGATGCTTTGAATATGTTATCGTAACCATTCTTGTACTGATCAAATGTTATTGTTTTTTGTGACCAATCTATTCTAGAGTTGTATACCTTTAATCATGGTATTCTTAAGATGATCTGTTGTTGGCCCAATGGTACAACGTCAAGCTATATAACCTCTAAGTATTGGGTTATATTCATTTATACTGGTTATATCTTTTGTAAAACATTTTCGTTAGATTCTGTTAGTTGTTCGTCAACTAACTACAATTGGTAGGGGTTTTGTTTCTTTTGGAGTAGAACTCTCAAGTATTTTGTAGCTTCTGGTGTAATAAAGTTTCCTGTAGCTTTTGAATCTATTATAGCTTATTATATTTATTCGTTTATTTTGACCTTACAGTATATCTGTTCTGTTTGTCCTATAGCATTTAATTACTAGGTAATTTTTTTTTTTGTTTATTTTATTGGATTATTAATTCCTTGTCTTTCTTTTCTTGAGGAATCATCCGGTTGCTTTTTTATCTGATCAATGAATTCCGCAGAATTCATTATAGTAAGTAATCCAGTTCATTATCGCATGATCTATTGATGTCTTTTTCTTATAATATTCTTCTATTATTGAAGGTGATGGGGTTCGGTAATACTCTTGTTCTCATAAGTCTACTATATTTATACTCTTTTGGTTTTGTAATAGCTTGTTTAATAATTTTCGGAACTTTTTATTAATAAAGGTTTTAGTTTCTTTAATCTTAATTGAATGTTCTTGGGATATAAAGGTAGTATTAAGTTGGCCTTTATTAAACTTGGGTTTAAAGTTGCTTTTCCTTTTCCTTATCTTCTTACTTCGATAATCCGCTGCCCGGTGCCCTGCTTTTCCATATTCAAAGTATAAGTTGTTTTCCTGTTTTCATTTCTTTTCTAAATTATTATTCCCCTTTTTGTAGTATATAGTGTTTAGTTCTATAAAGTCCCTATAACTTTATAGATTGTAATATGATTTTCCCTTATTCTTGTAGTAATGCTTTTGCTTTTGATTTCCTTAAGGTTTGTATAATCTTTGACCTTGTTGATATTAGTAAAGACAATCATTTGATTCGATGAAGTCCTGGATTAGATTGTTCAAGTCTATACTTTCGATAGATCTTTCTAACTCTAGTCTGACTTTTGGTTTGAGTTCTTTACAATAATAACTCATGATAGCGGTTTTATTCTATTTGATTGTTTTTATATATTTTCGAAATTCTGTAGTATATTTCAATATTGATTCTATCTGTTTAAGATTGAAAATCTTATCTTTCACTACCTTTAGTTTATTAGAGTTTCCAAAGATTCTATGAATCTCTGTTTTAAATCCTTCAAAACTATTGAAGATTGTTTAAGTAGATTATATACAATCTTATTTGTTATACTCGAAATAATCTTACAAATATAATTGAATCCACTTACTTACTTCTCCTTTAAGATAGGATGTAGTCTACATACTCTTAGATTCTATAGCTATAAACTTATCCTTATTAAATCGAAAGTAGATTTCTAGTTACAAAAGGAAAGTGTCGAGTTCCTATCAACTACCTTAATATTTGTCTGGTAAGGCGATCTTAAGGGTTTTATTAATAATAATCTCCTATAGAGTATCAGCTATCTCGATATTGTTGGTGTCTACTATTGGTACAGGTTGACCTATAGCGATATTTCTGGTTACTATATTTAGCAATGATTTATCAAATTGGTATTTGAAATAGAAAAGGTGCTCAAAATGTTACAGAAGCTGCTTCTAGGGTTATGTGAAAGTGTCTAGAGTTCTCTCGAAATGATTTAAACTAAACTTCAAATAGGAATTCAATAAGGTTGTAATTGGTTGCAATTCTTATAACTATAATAATGAAACTAATAATTGTTCTTAAACATAAAGCTCTACATATAAAGAAACTCTTTCCTTTATATAAACCTTTACACTCTACTATCCCACCAATCCTATTTATTAAGAATAGTAGAAGTAATGAGATTCTATTGATCCCATTGATAATAATCGATGAAACTAATGAGACAGTCCATCACATAACACTAGTCCCGTGAGTCTTATTATCCTATCTTATTTCCTATCCTAGGGCTAATCCCTTAAAAGCTTACTAATCCTAGCAAGACCTTTCTTGCTTACTGTGCCCTGTATTACTTATTCTTCCTAAAACCCTACTATCCTAAAAACCACGTCCTATAATTCAGTGTATTCTAAGTCAACTACCCCACTTTCCGACCACCCCCTCTTTTCGACCACCTCAAAAACCACACCGCTTTGAGTAATTATAAAATTTATACTTTGAATAACTCAACAACGCTTTAATCAATTGATTTGAAATTTTGATATTATTATAATTGTGATATGAAGAATAGATATACCGAAGAAGATATCGCAGAGGCTCTTAGAGCGATTACAAATGGAGCAAGCATACGAAGAGCTAGCTTGGATTATGGTGTTCCACGTACCACACTTCACGATCGAATATATGGTGGAGTTTCGCATCAAAAAGGCGCCCAAATACTTCAAAAGTTATCTCCAATTCAGGAGAATCGACTAGCAGAATGGATATTAGTACAGGAAGCTCTTGGTACTAGCCCTACACATCGTCAAATCAGAGAGATGGCAGAGCACCTCCTTATTGTACGAGGGGAGGATCCCTCACTTGGAAAGAAATGGATACATAGCTTTTTTCGAAGGCATCCTAATATTGGAACTAAGAAGCAACATCAAATCGATTCTGCACGAGTTTCAGGTGCTACATCTGATATTATTAAGAAGTGGTTCCGGAACCTCGCAATCCCTGAAATCAAGGCTATTAAGCCGGCCAACAGATAGAATATGGATGAAGCAGGTATAATGGAGGGTCAGGGTCTTAATGGACTAGTAGTAGGAAGCACTGATCGAAGATTTATTCAAAAAAAGCAACCTGGATCTCGAATTTGGACCTCTTTTATAGAATGCATTTCAGCCAATGGAAAAAGCATTACTCCCCTTGTAATATATAAGGGAAAATCAGTTCAACAACAATGGTTTCCAACAGATTTGACTCTATTCAAGGATTGGAACTTTACCGCTACAGAAAATGGATGGACTACAGATGCTACAGCTTTAGAATGGCTGAAAAAGATCTATATCCCTCAAACTACCCCTATTCAGCCGGAAAATTCAAGACTCCTCATTTTGGACGGACACGGAAGCCATGAAACTACAGCATTTATGTTAGAATGCTTTAATAACAACATATATCTCTTATTTCTCCCACCACATACGTCACACGTACTACAACCACTCGATTTATCTGTGTTCTCACCCCTAAAAAGTGCATATCGAATCGAACTTAATAAATTAAGTCTATTATCCGATTCCTCACCAATTGGAAAGCGCAATTTCCTTTCTTGCTATCAGAAGGCTAGAATAGAAGGTTTAACTATTCAAAATATCAAGTCTGGGTGGCAAGCTAGTGGTCTTTGGCCCAAAAATATGGCTAAACCTCTTATGAGTCGACTTTTGCTTGAAAATAGCAATAGAGAGGTTTTATCACTTAATCCTGAATCTGATGATGATCCTATTCTTCAATGGAATATATATTCATCGTTTATTCAATGGAAAACCCCTCAAAAAGGAGCCGATATCAGAAAATATAGAGATATAATGATTCAAGAGAAGGAGATCGATTTGCCAACACGAAGATTACTATTTCGCAAGATTATAAAAGGATTCGATGCTAAGGATTATGAACTCTTAGAGGCAGAGAATAAGATTAGAAAGCTAGAATATCAATTAGATGAAGCATTACCTAGAAAAAGGCGAAAGGTTGTGGTATCTCCAAATTCGAAGTTCGCAGGGATTAGAGCTATAAGGCGTACACAAATTGAAGCTGGAGATCGTGAAGATGAGGTAGATGATAGCTCTAGTGCTATAGAAAGTGATTCTACAGGCGATTTCATTGAAGTTCAATAGTTATTGAGTTATTAAAGTTTTAAGTGTAGATAATATGAATTTTTTAGGTGGTCGGAAACAGGGGGTGGTCGGAAAGTGGGGTAGTTGACTTATAACTAATACTATATACATGCCTAAGGTGTCCTTAGGTGCCTAGTATCCCCCGGTATACTGTAGTTGAATCACCGAGGCCTATAATACCATTATAGCCTATAAGTTGGTGATTCTACAGCCTGTTACTTGATCCATCGTAACACTTCGTTTTAAAACTTTAATAGTAAATAAGCTTCTTTTAATATTGCTTTTATATTAGCTTTTATAATACATATATTATATTCGACTGAATTATTTTGATAAGATGATATAATTACTATAACCTCTAATCGTATATCAACCTTTTATTTCCAAATGACTTGAAAGAGTTTTAATATATTATCAATTCTAGTAGTAATTATAACTATATTTATAACAAGTTCAATTTCTTATTTCCAAACTTTCAATAAGAATATTATATTGTTTTTCTACTTCAATAGAATAATCTAATTTATTCTTATAGTACTATCAATAATAAGGAGAAAATATCTATATCCTTAAATAAATTTTGGAAAAGAGTTAGCAATATTGAAATGAATTAATTCTAATTTTTTAGATTTTCATATACTTAATTAGCTTAAGATTCTATTAATCATTTTTATAAAAACACATACTTTACAAATATTACGAATTAAAAAGACCTTAATAAATCTCTAAAGTATAATAACTTTATACAAATTTCTAATTTTATTAGAACTGAAATAATTAAAGTGTCTATATTAAATAAGATATCTTTCCTTCTTTATTATAATTAATTCTTCGACTTCCCCTTTTATATTATCAATAATCTCTATAAAGAGTATAAAGAATATAAAATCTTTATATCCTAATTTCATATATAAAATAATATATATCCCATCTTTTATTATAACTTTAATAATCTTATTATTCTTATCATTTTCTAATATGAAATATATTTCCTTGAGACTAAATATATTCTTAAATCCTATCTTACAAATTCTCTTAATTAAAAGCAGATTGATCTTTAATTTAGATATATATAGCATCCTAACTAATAATATCCTTATTCCATCTTTATACATTATATCCACTATCCCTCATTCATTCAAATATATAGCTTTCCCATCAATTATTATTCTTTATTATAAAATATAAGTTAAACTTCTGAAAAGAGAATATTGATTAGATATATATAAGGTAGTATTAATATCAATATACTATTATAATAAGAATACTTTATTAATACTTTCTTTAATAAAATAATAATGTTCAAAATCAAATTTATTATCAACAATATTTTCAATATTATCGAAGTTTGATTTAATAATATAAGCCTTATACTCCCTATACTTTTTATTTTTTATAATAAAAAGATAAATTGTTTTCTCTTTTATTTATATTTTAAATCGAATTTCAAGAAATACTTAATGTAATAGAACTAGAATTATTTTAAAATTAAATAATTAGATTTGTTATAAAGTTTATAAGTAATAATAAATATATCGATTTTCAAACTTATATATTACAACGGTCCTTGCGAAGTACCGCGTCACATGACTATGAGCAGGTAACAAAGCGTTAAGGAGCTGTAGCGCTCCTGAAGCGCAGTGAGGTCCATAGCGATCCAGCCTATAAGAAGGTCCTAAGGAATATAACAGAGAATGAAGATTTATATAAAAGAATAAGTTTTATTATAATGTAAAGTTTTATACTCAAGAACAATTATTAGTTTCATTACTATAATTATGAAAATTACAATCAATTATTAATCTTATTAAATTTCTATTTGAAATTTAATCTAAACCATCTTAAAAATCTCTAGCCACTTCTACATAACCCTAGAGGTAGCTCCCTGTTACGACGGCATCCAATATACCGCGTCACATGGTCAGGAAGTCACGTGATGGACCTAGAGGATCTAGGGGATCGAAGAATAAACATCTAGATCCATAGGATCCAGAGGATCCAGACAAGACAGAACTGTAGGTTCTGCAGAGCAGGAAGGTCTATATAAGAGAACAGATTTCATTACAATGTAGAGCTTCGTGCTCAAGAACAATCATTAGTTTCATTACTATAGTTACGAGAATTGCAACCAGTTACAACCTTATTGAATTCCTACTTGAAGTCTAGTCTAAACCACCTCGAGAGATCTCTAGACACTTCCACGTGACCCTAGAGGCAGCTCCCGTAACACTCCCGTAACATTGTACTAATTTTATATTGATAATAAAATAAAATAAATTTCTTTTTTTTTACAAAATATATTAAATTTCTAAAGTTTTATATTTCTATCTTTTTAACCTATAAATATTTAATTTTATTATTAATATTTAAAATAAAACTAACAATATAGATTATATCAATAATGACTTTGTATTTATTAGGGAAAAATAAAATTAGGTTTTGAAAAAGTGATTTATTTATATATAAAGTATTAACTGAAATGTTTATAAATAAAAGCTTTTATTAAAGATCTTTGAGCTTGTCTTAGGCATTTATAATAATTATATTAGGGGTATTGTTAAATTGAAAAGAAAAGGTTTTGATTTTGAGGAGATATTTGTTTACTATAATATTATTGATTTTGGAATATTTAATAATTAGATAATCTCAAAGTTTTTTTGTTATATTTATTCTTTCATTAAAATTTCATTATTATTAAATAATAAATAACAAATACAAAATAATATACTAATATCATCTTTAAAAAAGATAACCTTTTTGTTAATATTAAGTCAAATCTTCATAATAATATTGTTATTGTTATTGAAGACTTAAAGTTCTTCGAAATCCTAAATTAAATTATTAGTTATTATAATCCATATATATTTATATAATATCTTTTCACATATATAGAACTAATCTTTTCCTTAAAATTAAATTCTTATTTAACAAATCTAATATTCATAATTCTTTTAAATAAAAAAAGAAATACATTTAAAATAATCCTTGAATTTAATATCTTCGTTTATTTTGAAGTTTTATAAGTAAAAAACTTATATCAATAATTTAAATATAATTTAATAATAAAATGAAAAAATGAAAAAGGAATTATTTAAATTATACTATCTCAATTTTAAATATATTAATGTTTGAAGAAAGAAATTCTTTTTAAAATAAAGTAATTGAAAATAATGAATTTTGATTTATAAGTAATGATTTTTGAAATGATATCAAATATTATATAATTAATAATCCTTTTTAATATCAAGTTGAAATAAATAGTCTTTTCAATAATAATTTGTAGTTTTTTTATTTAAGGAAAGGGTATAATGTAAATAGTTATTTTGCTATTATTATTTAGTAATCTATTTACTATATATATTTTATATATTAATGTTGTATTATATAAAAGCTTTTTATTATTAATCCTTACTTTAATAATGTAAATTATTTAAAAAGCTTTCAATCTTAGTTTTATTATAGAGCTATTAGGCTTATAATCTATTTATAATAAAGAAGTAGACTAATAGAATGTATATATTATTAACTATATAGATTAATCGTATTAAAATAAAATCTAATTATGAAGTAGAAGTGATATATATATAGTAGTTAAGCGCACGTATCACAACTTCTAACATTTTTGATTATTTAAATTCATAATAAATTGTTAATAAAATATATATTAAAAAAGAAAGGTATAAATTAAGATAAAAGTAGGCTATATGTTAATATAAGCTATATACTGATAAACTATGTTATATATTTCAATAATATATTATAGAAGGTTATATTTTTTATAAATATCTAATTGAACTCCTTCAAGTTTAAAAAATATAATTTCTATTTGATAATCGATCTCTGTTGGAACATGTGACTAGGGGCGTGACATTACATATCACGCTTTACCTCATATATATACTCTATATGTAAGTAGAAAAGTTATATATAAGTCAGATACTCAGCTTTCTAGTCACTCCTATTTTCGACTACTCTTTTACATCAAAAAGTACTTTTTCAGCTTATCAATATCTCTATTAAAATACAATATAATTTATTAAAAATTTATAAACATATAATTTAAATCATTTCAAGTCATGTCTTTCTATATAATTAAAAAAGTTGATAAGTTTTTCAATTTAAGGAATTTTATTTTCAAAACTTCAAAATAAGCAATTAATACTATTCTTTGTTAAAAAAAAATACCGTTTACTTTTAATTGTTTCATTTATAAATTATATAGATTTGAAATTAAAAAATTAAAAAATTCTAACTTGTAATGCTTTTCCTATACATAAGAAGCGATTTTTTTGAAAATTTTATAATTCTTATCTTTAATAGCTTATAACTTTATAAATAAAATATTTAAAAATAAACTTGCTTTTTTATATATAATTAAAACAATTCTGAATCGATTTTAAATTCTTTTTATCATTTTATATAAAGCTTTAGTAAAGAAACAAGAGTCTTAAGAGCTGAAAAATTAATGATTTTAGCGGGGAAATCGAAATCTGTACGATGAGGAGGTTCTAGTTCTGTACTTGTAATTAATCAATTCAGTCTACTTTATCAATAATCTCTCATATGATTTCATTATATTCTATTCCATTATAAATTAATTTGATAGGAAATATAATAATATAATAATATAGTAATATAATAATACAATTTTATAATACAAAATCATTTTGTGTGTATATTAGTCATCAATAGATTTCTTAATTAATAAGATGTTAATAAGTGACTTAGTATACTTATTATAGAATCTCACAACTTCCGACTTGAAATCAGATACTGACAAATTGTCCGACATCGATATACATATCACTGAGAGATTCTTCAAGTATATCACCAAATTTGGTCAAATATTCCATTATAATGCCGAGATCAAACAGCAATAGTAGGTAGGTAAGTAATGGTGCTGAGTCATTGGCTCTTACTGACCTATTAATTTGTCTTAACCTCTACACTTCAAGCTTATGGTCTCAGTATCTATTTTCGTATCGCTTAAATGATTATCTTCACGTACTGTAAAGCCAATTGCTACATTGGTGTTTCGATACTCTGATTGGGACTAAAAAAGCATCGTCCCCGAGTTCCTAAGTGTTGGATGCTTGGACCAAACATATATGGTACCGGATTTTTTTTTAGAACAATGTCGAACGAATAGGTATTATTAGACCGTATTTCCATTGTACTCTGGAGCAAGCTGTAATCCTCAGCTAGGCCATAAGCCTGGCTCCTTTGTGGCATATTCCCACTTGATTAGTTAGACAACTGAAAGGTTTCATACTAGCTACTAATTCAAAATTCTGTATAGCATGGGCCCTTGGATCGAGAATTTTTGGTGCTGACTGCTTACAGTTTTGATGACGGTTACGATAGCAATCTGGCTTCATGTTTCATGAGATATCTTCGAGAAACTCTCTCCATCCCACTTTTGATACACACAATTAGTCAAATCGGTCTTGATAGGGAGTTATATTAAGGCGTGTAAAGAGTGCGGCTACCTTATTAGCAATGCCACTTTCACTGGGTTGATGTCGAATTCATACAAGCATTGCTTTTCTTCTTGCAGGGGCTACAGACGTTGTACTTCATATCATTGCGGAGTGTATTTGACATTTTTTCTGAACAGATAAGCGTCTAGCTTTTGTTTGATATTATTGGATAGAAATGCTTTATATGTTATTGGTTTATCGCGGTATTTAGTTAATGTATTGTTGTGTTTAACAAGTTCCTCCTGTTTTTCTGTTCATGTAAACACGGGCTCCATGATAAGGCTTAGCGAGATGCCCCCCTGTTGAAGCTTTCGGGGCCGAGCAGAACTTCAGACTTAGATAATTGTTCGAGGGTGGATAATCAGGTCATCTATCAAAAGGGATCACTACTAGAGATTTTGTAAAACTATCAATAGGAATCAATTAATTGAATATCAAGCTTTGAAGCAAAATTTTGGTTCCTGAAAATGAGTGAGCATGAATTTGAAGGAAAGACGTGGGACTATTGACTACTTTGAAGGTTTTTCTACTTTCGTTGTTGTTATATCCAGAGAGATCAATGTCAAGTACTTAGGAAATTGATTAGAAGTTCTAGTAGTGGCTAGGACAGCTATGGTCCAAGACAGTAAAATCCTTCTGTGTGGTATCTTCATAATACCATGCAGTGAATCTAGCCGTGGCTTAAATATTCTCCGCGGAGGAGAGTTAAAAGAACCCAAAATTGCTTGGTGGCTACCTACTTGTGTGGTTTTCAATTATAGTAGAAAATATGCGAGGTGCCTCGAGTGTAAAATGGCACTTCAAGTGATGTGATCTGATCTGACGTGGAAAAAATGTTATCTGCAGCTCTGATCGTTGTCAACAACACATTTCGGGATATAACCTTTTTCTCACGCCACAGGGTAGGGTGCCAAGATAGGCCCCTTGGTGGCTTTTGTAAGAAAATTAGTCGCATCTATGCTGTTGCTTTCGCTTAGCTTCATCTAAACTACATGAAACTGTGTTGAATGGGTAACTCTATTCGGAATTCGAAAGTTGGCTCATATTATTTTAAGGATATATATGCACATGAAGACCGGAGCTCGTCAGCATCCGGTAGATAAGTGGATTTGTGGACCGCACCGACCGTTTTAAGCCCCGATTCTCCACTTGAGATGATAATATCTGTATAATTTTTTGATATCCATGATAATCCTTCATATATAAAGCTCATGATGAGGTGAGCGAACCTTGTTCATTCCAAGGCAACTCAGACCAGACTGTCACTAATGATCCAAAGTCTCCAATACTTCTGGAAGTTCAACTGTCAGGTGAATAATAGCGCGACTCTTTCTCGAAACAAAACTCGGTTGTTGTAATACCCGAAAACTCCGCCCTGAGATTACCGGGGCGTCTGTCGGATTCCGAGCTAAAATTGGCATGTAGAAAAGTGATATGAAAAGTTTTTAATTTCAACCCTTGATTTCCACGTGAAACTTCTGGTTGGCACTCTTGATCTAAGATTCTTGATCAACGCGGGTGACCAACTTCAAATGGTAAAGTAGCATCCCATATTTCTTAGTGCGGCTGACTGTGGTCGAAATGGTACGTGAGAAATAAGAGTACTGCCGATTTCGGGGTGAGATCCTCAAATTCTCACGATCAAGCGTATCAGCGATTCGAGAAAGACATGGTCCTTCAAAAGAATGTTTAGCTTTCCTAGAACCGTAAGTGTGTCAAGCAAAGGATGGTCTTCTGTCGGATTAAAATTACATAAGGTAAATCGAACATCTCTAAGTAAAGAGGGAGTTTTCTTCATGTCAACCGACAATATGCATACAACAAGGTATCCTGCGCTCTATAGCCATGATTGCGGGTTGACACAACAAAGTGAGGTAAATATTGCTCGGGCTCGATCGTTCTAACGGTCCCTAGGTTTGCGGAGCAGACCTCGAAAGCTTATGTCAATCAGCCTAATTGCTCTCTGTTTCCCTTTGCAGTTAGTTTTATACGAGACGCCCTTTATGAGCACTTGGTGGCTCTAGCTCAGATGGTGACAGCGAGCACCAACTGCTATCAATTCGTCATGTTAGCATGGTTGAGATATGTATGTAGCAAGTGTGCTCGTATCGAGCTGGAGTTTCAACATTCATTATTTTGGAAAGCTTCATTCTTGGACCAGCTTTGCTTGTGTTTGTTTGTCTGTTCGTTTCCACAAATTTCTTCGGCGACATTTCAATTAGCAGATGCTAATTTAGAGTGCCCTTACCTACAATGAATCAAAGTACCCCCAGAAAGAAAAATGTCAGAAGCACTGGATCTCGTTCGCGTACCGGCTGCAAAAACTGCAATTGGGTGAATGATCCAGTGTGCATATATTGTACTAGTTCGTCGCAATTATACTTTGGTATAAATCTGATTTCATAATTGGATCAGTTCCGAGGATCGAATGCAACGTCAACTGAGAAATTTACACTTCCGTGTCAACACTAAACAAGTCTTCGGAACTGACAGAAACTTCAAACGTAGGATTCGAGGTGTAAAATGCGATGGAGCAAAGCCGGGCTGTCAGAGATGCAAGAAATTTGGCTGTATGTGTGATGGATATGATGAACGCAAGAGCTTTAGTTTTCAGCCACCAACGAATCCAAGGAGAGTTTTTCCTCGAACAGAGACTAAGCAGTCATCACAAAGAATATTGGTACCCAAGTCTCTACCATTTTCATTTCGAATTACACTCCTTGGAGAGCAAGAAGCAATATACTCTCAAATATTTCAATGCGAAACTATAAATTGCCTTGCGGATGGCCGCAAATCACCACTTTGGTATGAAATAGTGAGGCATGCGTGTCTGGAAGAACCATCTATCTTTCATTGCGCCATAGCCATCGCTGCTCTGGATAGAGCATGTAAATTTAGGTCTTCAAATTCCTCCTCGGACGTTGACTTTCATCATCGTCATGCACTTCAACAATACGAAAAGGCTCTCAAAGAATTACAGAAAGTAACCTCTCGAGGCGAGTCTTGTATTCGCACTACCCTCACCTCCCCTCACCTCCCCTCTACTCATGTTTTCTTTTCAAATTTTTCATGGGGATGTTCGACTTGCCATGAGAAATGTCAGAACGACAATAGATCTCATGTACAATTGGATCTCCAGCCAGACGGATACTACTACCCATATTGATTTTAGTCCCGCACCGCATATCCTCGAGCATGAAGTAGTTGGACCATTTGCTCGTCTTGATGCGCATCCCGCAAATGCATGTATAACTTGGGTCATTCTAACCCGACCTTCATCTTCTATACTATTCGAATAGAAGCGTAATTCACTAACAGACATGTTGTCTAGTGGATTGGTGTTTCCTAATCTTCATGCGACGTCATTCCTCTCGTTTCCCCGGATTTTTTCGAAGCTTTACCAATCCCAACCATCTTTACGTCCCTCGAGAAAGCAAAACTTTCTTTGGACAACATCATATTCCGACCTTTCCTGGACAAAGTTTCCGGCTCAATTGTGCCCTCACTGACAAGCATTTCCCAATATACCATATCTGAAGCCTCTGAGCCTCCTTTAACAAAAGAACTGAGATCCTGGACATCCGCGTTCCAACCAGTTTTTGATATCTTCCAATCTCGAATTGATACAGACCCAAAAGATCATAGCGAGTTTGTACCTGACGGAATCTTGCGCTGTCAATGTTTAGCGCTACAAATCGTCTTCTTGTCATCATACTATTCTCGACTGAATATCGACTCATACAATTCATCTTCACTCCCCACCTCCTAAAGCTATCCAATTGTTTTCTCAATTCGAAAATGAGAATAATGATAAAGAAGTACTCAAACTTTTAATTCCAGTGTATTCCGAGATTATCACCAGTTTCAGAGCCATAGTCAATCATCCAGCATTTGTCAAATCATTCATTTTCGGATGCGGCATTCTACCTCAGCTTTTCGTCGTGGTGTGTAATGTCCGGTTAAGATAATAAAACAAGAAGAATACAGATATTGAAGGATGCTAGAGGAAGAAGAGAAGGGGTTTGGGATGCGAAGGCTGTGGGACTTGTTGGCGCAGATATATCGAGATGTGAAGCTTTTGATAAATATGTAAGGAGCCTTCAGAATCAACATGATGTTTCCTCTACTGGAAAGCCTTTAAGTATAGAGGACATCCTTGGGAATGATGCATCAGCTTGGAATGATTGTAAATATACACGTCAAGGGATTCGATTGCAGAACCCCATAAAGTGGGTCGAAGTCCACTTTGCATATCTGGGGATGAAGATGAAGTTACCGGTACTGAGGCGGGAAGAAGTGACGAATAATAAGGATGGAGTTGAGCATTCTTGGGAGAGATAGAACGATGAGCTCGAGTAAATGCATCTGCTGGACTGGGTGGAACAATATCTTGGTCCTCGTGGAGATGGTTTAGTTCCTGGATTTGTTAGTCTATGATGTCTTGGAGTAGGATGAGAATTGGATTTTTGGAGTTATGGAATTACCAGTTGGCATATGGCTGATGACACGCGGTTTGGAGGGTTGGTGTTTTGGTGTTTTGGAAGTTCAGAAATTAGATGTATTGCTCGGAGCATCTCAGAATCGACAAACATCAGAGGAGGTATATAACCTTTTAGCATCTTTGAATGATGGATACGTATCTTGCCCCGTGACTAATGAAAGATAACTGAATAAGTCATCTGATGCTAGGCGAGGGCCGTCACTTGCATCATGATGACCCGCACTAGCATCTGATATTTCACCCAGTATTTGAGACCATTCCAGCTGGATTTACGTCATAGTTCAGACGACATCTATATGAAGTATATTTCGGGGTACCGGTGCATGGTATATGAGTTACATCAAGCCGTATGTTCTGTTGTTGATCATACTCCTGTCTCAGCGTATGAACACAGGATGGTTCTAATGTGACAAGGAGGAGGAAGACTATAAGTTGATAATATATGTGAGATATCCCAACTGTATGAAGGGTTTCTTCCTAGGTAATAAATGGCCAACGATTTAAGATACAATCACTGGTAGTGCTTCATATGATATATGATACTCAATGTGACTAACGATAGGTAATGATAATAAATGCCAAGTCTTTTTCCAGGGTAATATACCGCTAACTTTTAGGCTTCACGCTAAAAAGCACCCGCCACTACCATGTCCATGACCACCTCCAGCTACTTACGACATCATCCCGAATGACAACAACACTGATGAATATCTGAACCTAAACAAATACAATCACAACATATATACTTACATTAGCAACCTACACTCACCACAAAGAATCGCAATTTGTATTCGATAGACTGCAATAATCATCAGAATCAAATATTTCTTGAACTGTGGAATTACAACTTGTCTGTCTCACATTTTCCAGCTCCGCAGTTCTTACACACATCAAGAATCATGATCACCACCGCATTTACTCCTAGAACTCCCACCTCATTCCTTACTCTTCCTTCCGAACTGCGTCTGAAAATCTGGTCCAACCTCCTTCCCGGTCCTCGTACCCTTCCAATCCGCTGCTCTCGAATCCACAAATCCTATTACACTTCTGTTTCCACTTCCGTCCTCCTATCTATCTCTTCCGAAACGCGAACTCTATTTCTCGAGCACTATTCTCTCCTCTACCTTAACCCCTCTTACAACTCCACTATATATATAAATTTCGCCCTCGATACACTTCGTTTTGACAACGAAGAATGTTCACCTATCGGAGATTTGGCTACGGATTTTCAGACTTGTGCGCAGAAGGATTTGATTGAGAGGGTGGAGATCAATGTACATTTATGGGAAATTATGCGATTATTTCGATTTGATGCTTTGGCGGAGATTAAATATTTACATGGATTGAGGAATTTGACATTTGTTTTGAAGAAATCTGACGTCGAATTGAACAATGGAGAAGAGGATGAGGCTAATAATATGAGGGCGAGGACTAGAGATGTATGGGGAGGAAGGATGTTGATCGAGGGGCAGACAATGGATAGAGAGATTGCGCAATGTCAGTGGTATGTTTCGATGGTGAAGTGGGAGGTGGAACATGGGTTCCATCAATGGACGGACTGTAAACCGAATGTGCAGATGTGCATTATATGAGAAGAAGGTTGATGAGATGAATGCGATCGATTGATGAGAGTGGGGGTTATCTTTAACGAAGGTCCTGCGGTATCAAGATCTATGTCCAAAATTCACCAGGCGTGAGAAAACTTCACTCAAAGTCTCTACGAATTTACGAATATGCGGAGATACACGAACTAGGGATTGCATTGGGAGAATAAGATCACACTGCTCATGGACTCTTTAGACGAATTCTGGTGTTATCATCTCCACCGAAGCAATGGAACCGACGCTCTCAGAGCATACACATACACATATGTCAAGCTACGAAACGAGTCTCTAGGCTAGTTCGTGTTCCAGTCTCCCAATTCTCCAGGTCTCACAGCAAGATTTTCCATTGCCTACACCGTTCCTGATGTTTTCTATAGGAAGGTTTCCTGGAATACATCTCTAGATCACCGTCAACCCACATCATTCCACATCACAGACCGTCTAGGATAGACATCACGTCTGTCAAACGACACTGGATTATCTCAGTTACCTAGCAAGGGAACTCTTGATTCATGGTTACAAGGACAATGAATATCCATGGGACTGAATAGAACTGGATCAGCTTCCTAGACTAGCTTCCTAGACTGTAGATAGCTTTCTCAAATACATACACCTATCAAACACCCCAGAAATCCATCGATACAATATCATGAGGGTGTAAATGAAAGTATCTAGCTTTGATTAGATATGCATGTGAGGTAAAAATTTATAATAGCATCATATGGCAACATTTCATGTATATTAAAAAAAGTATTAAGGATAAACTCATTTTATTGATTATTATTGTTAATCATTTAATTAATACCTCCAAAGATTCAAAAGATTCAAACTTGATTAGAATACCAGACTATTTTCAAATCTTTAATTGCTTTTAGATATCCAAAACCATGTATTTTTAGACTGATTCGGACTATGGAAAACCTTATCAGTAACATCTATAACTGTAAATACGAAATAGATATATAGATGAAGAATAGTTCAGATCTCACGTCCTGTATCATTTTTGCGATACCTACACATGAGGATGGGGTTCTAAGGTAGTCTCAATTGCAACGTAGATTTCTCGGGACCCGGGAGATCGAATGGTTGCATAGATCTTACTTGTAACTTGGAAGTTTTGGTTGGATGGTTGGATAAATGAAAATATGCGTGGGATTTATTAAAGATATAGGATACTAAGTATATATCTTACATATTCGGAAACATCTCAACCATCCATTCCCCAAGCTCAATAACTCATCCCTTCTCTCTTCACCTCCCCCAAAAATCTCTCCACAATCCCCACCACCTCCTCCGGTTTCTCCTGCATAACCCAATGGCCTGCTCCGGACACCACCTTGATCCCCTTAAACCTCGTGCATCTCTCTCCCATCACTTCCAATACCCCCGGTTCCTGATACATTCCCCAATCTTTTTCTCCACTGATAAACAGCATTGGTACATCTAAAGTTCTTCCCGCGAAAAGCTCTAGTTCTTGTGAGTAATGCGGAGATGTGATCACGCGGTACCAATTCAACATTCCTTGGAATCAGGTGCGTGCATATTCGGAGGCGTAGACGGCGAGATCGGAGTCTGGGAGCCAGGTTTCTAGCTGGGTGAGAGAGCTGGGGGGGATGGGGCGCATGTGGGTTTGGATGACTTCGCGCATGGAGGAGTGCAGGGGCATGATGTAGTAGGGAGGGAGATGTTGGAGTTCGGTGGCGGAAAAGGAGGGTAAGGGGTGAGGGGTGTTGCCGCTCCAGTGTCCGGATTTGAGGTAGAAGTAAGCCGCGGAGGAAGGTGGAGAGGTCGGTGGAGGCTTGCGGGGTGGAGAAGTAGGTTCCGTAGTGTTTGAAGGGGGTGGGGAGCTGGGAGAGGGAGGTGTGGATGTCTTCGGTGGGGGCGGGGGTGGGAGTGGTGGAAGTGGAAGTGGAACTGGGGAGGAGAGGGGGACCTTTGAAGGGGTGGGAGAGAAGGATGATGCTGGGTGGGTGTTAATATTTATTTTAGGAAATGTGATAGAATTATGAGTGAATGGGGGAAAAGGAAGGATGTAAATGAAAAGGGGAAAAAAGTGTGAAGAGAATTCCATGAAATGACGCTCCGCTGGCCCTCCGGGAGCCACTGCCGTGGAGGCAGAACATTACACTTCGATCGAGCGTAGCGAGCTATGGGGGTTTGGGGGCTTGCCCCCATAAACAAAGCACGTAAGCAAGCAAGTACTTACTTACTCACTTACTTGCCCACACCGCAGCTCCTAAAAGTCAATCGAAGATCGTTGCACAAACACGCAAACACGCAAAGAAAACAGGGAGTCCTACGATTTAAATAAATCTGGTCTCATAACTCCACACCAGCCCGCGATCACCGCCCCAAAATCATGTCCTATTACACACGCTACATCTTTATGGCCCAGCGCGTGGACTAACAACACCATATCAGTGACGAGACGAGAGATAGTAGTAGTGTGGAGATCGACAGCGGAGAAAGAACGGGTGTCGTGGCCGGTGGTGCGGCCTGCGCCGCGTTGATCGGGGGCGACGACGTGGTGGCCGAGGGAGGAGAGGGAAGGGAGGATGTGGCGATAGGAGAAGGAGAGTTCGGGGAAGCCGTGGAGGAGGAGGATAAGGGGGTGGGAGGGGGAGCTGGGTTAGGGTGGGGGTGCGGAGGTAGAGGGAAGTTATGCCTGGGGGGAGAGGGAGGGGAGGGAGGGGAGGGAGGGGATTAGAGGGGGTGGTGGACATTTTTTTGATTGGGGATCAGTAGGGAGATGGATATGTGAGTTAGAGATTATTTGGGATATACAATAAAACACTCATCCATGTCCTAGGTATGTATACTAAGTACTCATCTCAGTTCTTGCCCCTCGATTCACAAGATCTCCACATCTCCACAAGTCAGATTTTCCAATCACGTTATTACAGTATATGAATTAATTGCGGAGAAATGATCTACAGAGAGATGCATAGATACCTGTGAGTAAGAGATCTTTGTATTGACCTTCTGTAATGTTATTCAATTGTGGGAGGTATGTTGGATATATGAATGCATGGTAAATATAAGTATTGATTAATATACCTACCTCGCCTACGTACGTATGTATAAATGTATAGCGAAATCGATGAAAGGAAATCATCTATTAAACACAATATGATAACTTCACTGTCTGTCTCTATACTGAAATCTACCCGTCCCTCAGTACTTATCGGTATCCCATCTACGTCATCATACATGGCGGACCTGGGTATTTGATATACCGTACCGGACCGGGCCCATAGCTCAAGTCTAGTCCTTTCGAAGTGTGGCTTAGCTAGAGATATTAAATTGATCTACAAACTGAAGGGATCCATGAATGCTAGATAGGTAATGAATGGGGATTTGGTGCTCTGTCACTCTAGGTGATGGATTGTTTTATGGGAAAAGATCTCTTTCGCAATTTGAACTTTGTTTTGAACTTGGAGTCAAACTTAATATTGTGTTGGATTGTGTTGGATTGTGTTGGATTGTATTGGATTGTGTGGTACATTGGAGGTGTCTATTTAAAGCAGTGGTTGTTTCTGATGTGCGATTGAAAACATGCCTAGGTAGGTGTGAAGAGGAAGGGTATCGTGGGATTTCAAGGTTCGTGGGGTTTGAAAGTTTGTCTGGCTGGATTATGGTGGCTGGCTGGTCTTTGGGGTAACATTCTCCCAAAGCTTTCAATTACTACCTGGGTTTCTACTCGAGTATTACTAGGTAGGTAGGTACCCAGAATACCGGATTAGACCCTTAGACTTCCAAGTTCCCACCATTCCAACTCTTTCCCAAGGCCTTTCTTGTGTGTATGTGTATGTGTATGTGTATGTGTATGTGCTCTTTGTTAGCCCAACTCAATACTCAAGTACCTACCTGGTAATCATTCAAATTCCTGGCAAATAACAAGGAACCAAGTTGTATATAAACTTTTAAACTTTGAGCCTGTGAATCATGTAAATACTACCACCTACCTACTCCGTTTCTTATGTAAATAAGTGCGCACTCAAGTGTTTACGATGAAAACTCATTTAATAAGATCAATGAGTACTTGTATCTTTAACTGATATCGTTACTCGTAAGGAGGAAAAGGAGAGTGGAGTACTTATTGCTTATTACTTATTACTTATTACTCATTACTCGTTAGTACTTTTATTATGATTACTAGGTAGATTTTGGAATTTAATTGCATGCGGTGCGTCTAAACTCATAATCCCAAGGTCAAGGGAAACTTTTGGCACCTAGGTTTTATTTACTCATACGCATTCATTATCCGGCTTTTCGCTCTCGAGCTGCCACGATGAAGAAGTTAAATGATTGGATTGGATTGAATTGAATTGAATTGAATTGAATGATGAAAGAGATAGGTCTAGGTACCTACTTTACACCTACTTACTACTATGTGTTGGTGTTTTGACAGTAAACTTAGAATTAACATTGATATCTTCACAGCCTCTTGTCTCTTCATCTCCATCTCCATCTTCATCTCCCCCTCTCTCCGCCTTGCCTTGTGTGAATTTTATGAACAAAAACCTCATTTGGTGCATCTTATGAAAATAGCTATATTGCATTAGAACCATTCTCATTTCGGCTCTTCAAAATATACCGACTGAGTACTGACTGAGTACATAACTTTATCTAGACCTCACTTGTCTTTCTCCAAAGTTCCACACTTCCTTCACTTCACCTCATACAAACCCCCCATCAAACGTTCTACCACTATCTAATATCCTTCCCAACCTTTCCATGATCGGATCTTCACTCACTGGCATTTTTGATGCATCCATCTTCTGAATTGTATCCACCGACTTTAATCTGGACTCCATTTTCGAGCATCAGAGTTACTCCATTCGAAAGCTCTTGGATCCTGATCTACCACCATCAACCAAGAAGAGAAACTCCATAACCCACTATTTCTTCTGCACACAAGCATCATCAGCCACAACTTCCATTCAACCAAACAGTTGTTCAAGGGATATCCAAACACCCCAGTTATCATTCCAAATTTCATTCGCCTACATCACCCAGTCATCATCGAATTAGTGAATTGGCGTGACGGGGGATCGTCATATTCCTGTATTGTTATCTTACGGAAAGGGAAAAATAGTCATCAGAATCTCTTCATCCTTTTCCATTTCCTACATTATTTTTTTTCAATGCGATAACATCCTCATGAGCCCATAGTTGGCAGAGGCTCAACAGGCGATTAGGCCTACGACAATCAATATGTTTGGAAATAGAAGGAGAAGAGCGGTTTCGAATCCGGTATGTCAGATTTCATTGTACTACGTTCCATTCCAACATTTCTTCGATTCTTTTCAGGTTGCGCGACAGCTCAATCGCAATTGGCTTCCGGGGAGATCTTTGCATGAAATGGAGTACTCGAGTACATGCAGCCACATTCGTAGTAAATGCTAACAAGTTTATTTCTACAGCCAGTAAATTCAAACGTCAACGCATCTGCCGCGACCGCCGCGGCACAGGCATTTCTATCTTCTCAAGCATCAAATACTTCCTTGTCTTCCGCGGCTGCAGCTGCCGCATTACGATCCAGACCAACAACACCTACTTCCGTGGCAGATATTCAAACCAAAAGAACAATTCGGAGAAACGGTTCAACCTCTTCGGCGGGAAGTTCTGTAGGTGGTTCCGTACGCGGTCCACCAGGTTCGACCCTTGTGAGAAGAGGAAGTTCCGGTTCGATGACTGAACGAACTTTTCGGGAATCGTCACCAGTTCCAAGTGCATATGATGCGCCGCCGGTACCGGCAATTCCGCAGAATATCACAAAGGCTGGTAAGAAGACGTCACGGAGATCCGCAAGTATGGATGCACCTGGATTGAGAATCGCATCACCACCTCCAAATAAAGCTGGTGGGAGAGGTTCGAGTCTTGGACCATCAGCGACAGCATCGCGTGGGTCGGGTCCAAGAAACCCAAGTTTATCCAGTGTATCTGAGATGAATGGGGAGAGTAGAGGGTCCGTCAATTTTTCCTACCCTACGAGTACAAGGCCAATGTCTCCTGAACAAAGACGGCTAACATGTTCTCCAAGCTTAAGTGCAAGCCCAAGGATTGTTTCGCCACATAACCAAAATCTAGTATACGATCCAAATACCAGACGTTTCTTACCGCTAGCGGACATTCTAGCCATCGAGCAAAGATTGAATGGAATTGCTAATGCTCCAGTTAAGAAGAAGAAACGAAATCCGCCTGCACAAGGTACTCATCTAGCAGCTGGGTCAGTGGGTGGGAGGCTAAAGGGGACCGCGCTGGATGCAATGGAAAGGGCATCAAATGCATCGAGCACACAACAACCGATATCACAACCTTCCCAGCAATTCGTACCACCGCCACAATTCACCCAACAATCTGTATCAAAATCTATCCAACAACCCGTATCACAGTCCGCCCAGCAGCCCATATCACAACCTATACCAAAGCCTAATAACATACCGAAATTACCCCCCGCACAAACCGAAACTTCTCGGGAAAATCCCCAATCTGTACCTGTCTCAGAATCAAATCCTCAGCAAAATCCTCTTGCAGTGACATCTCCACCAAAAAAGAAAAAGAAGCGTGTTATTGTCGCCGATTCTGATAGTGACCAGGCATCGATTCTACCAAATTCATCTGCCGATGACAGTGACGTACCATCACATGGCTATAAAACTCGAGCAGGTGCCATCTTAGCGAAAAAGCCATCAGTTGTGCGTGAGGATAGAGAAAGAGAGGAGACAGAAGATGATTCGCCATTGCGCTCTGGAAATGTAGGCTTTTTGGAGGATCGTATTGAACCTACAAGAACTACATCACCATCTCTTTTGCCTCGGTCATCTGCTGGTAGGGGACATGGTCGAGCGCAATCGTCAGCAAATTATGCGCAAGAACGCCAGCATACCAGATCTGCAAGCCAACCTCCAATGACGTCTGTTGCCGCCCCTTCGTTAAATGAAGAATCTCCTCGTGGTGGTCGTGTTCAATCCGTGAGTCCTGCGAGAACTCCACACTTTATGGCAACCCCCGAAACCTTGACGGTTAGACATCAGCCACCTGCAAGATCGGTATCTCCGCGAAAGTCAGCCTTGAAACATTCTTCCATGTCTTCAATTGAACCTAGAGGACCACCATCTGACGGAGGGTCCCTTCGACTTAGTGAGGTTTCTAATGATGAGGAACAGCCAAGAAAGAAAGCAAACAGAGTTAGCTTTGATGAGGGAAACAATGTTGTATTGGGTCAATCGACAACCTTGCCTTCGAATTCACCAATGGTTCCGAGTCCGCAAGTAAAGCGTGGCTGGTTCAATATTGGTCGTGGGAAAAAGAAGGATATACACGTTACAGATGAAGATGACGATGAAGTTATGAAACCACGGCCAGCTCTTCCATCTTTTGGAAGTGTGAGGGAGAGAAAGACTCATCGAGAGACAGAGGAACGAGTTCTAGTCAGACCACCAGAGCAAGTACCTACTATTGCTCCTGTCACTTCTCCTACATCACCATTGTTCACTTCTCATACGGGGAATGTATTGGAATCCCCCATGGGACAATCAAATGATCACGTCGCTGGTTCATTAATCGCTCATGATGCTACTTCGAAAAATGCAGCAAATATTTCAAAATCTCGTGAGCCACTACCTCCTGATGTGACATCTTTGGAAGGGACTGGGGAAATTTCAGACGCTAGCAGTACTTATAGCTTAGACAATAGTGCTATTGGCATTGCTAGAAGTGATAGTGTAAGAGTTGGACCAGAAGATGGACATGCTGATACATATCGAGAATTGGCAAGTCCAACGAAAGATCAATTT